AGAGAGAGAGAGAGGAGATAAGGTGACCTTGTCACAATCGATACAGAGGGGGAGTGAGAACAGAAATTCGAGAAATGGTAATCAAAGAAACGGGGTTTTCATAAAAATTGTTGTGGGACAAAACGAGTACAGAAAATTAAATGAAATATGTTTTTACATAGGAGAGTATAGATACTAATGATCCTCCATCTTTTTCAAGCCTTTTCATGTCCGTGGTCTCTACCCTGCAAAAATAACATCAAAGCCACCAACTTAGCAACACAGTCCCACGTGATGAGAGAGAGTAATTTCTATAAAAGTGAAATTTGCAGAGAGATACGAATGAGTCATGGTAAATGAGAAATTTCTGAGTCATTTATTACTCAAGTTTCATCACAAGACAACTGAAAAGTATGCCACAAAAGCCATTTTCTGCGCAATGACACCAAATTGGCTCACGCTCGTCCAATCTCTAAATACAGATTACAAAGATATCACGGTCACTGTGGGTTCTCTCTCTCTCTATCTCATCATGTGAGAAATCTTACCAAAAATGGATATGTGGTCTTGATATTACAGAAACGTATTGTTACCCTCTCTCTCTCGTTTAAAAGAATGATTTAATTGTAATTAATAATCTAACCACAAAGCAACAAAGAGAAATGATCCTATAAGATCCTTACACTTTATAAAACAAGAGAAATGATCCTATAAAATCCTGTCCCATGTGTGTAGGACCTTAAAAAATCACCATTAAAACATTTTAGAGCTCAAGACATTTTTAAACCGTCTTTTACAAAAGTCTTTTGCAAAGACACTTCTATTTTTATTAAAAAATGGAGTTACCTAGAATAAAGGCATTCCAAGTTTTTTTCTTTTTTGGAATTTCTATCAAAATGAACCTAGGAGATGAATTATTTATATATATATATTTTTTATTTGGAAAAGTTATGAACTATTTAACATGTCACTCGTTTCTTTGATTTAATTTCAAAAGCCCATCAAAATACATATGATCAATGAGTTGGAGAAGTTGAAAATGAGTCAAATGTCAAATAGTTGAAAGGTATAGTTTGACAATTTCCTTTTCTTTTCCAAAATAAGCAAAAAAAAAAAAAAAAACAGAGAAATGGCCTCACAATAGCAGTGCCGACCAAACAATGCACCTTACTCCAAACTTACTCATACATATGCAGGGAAGACACTAGATTATTCTCTAATAAATTATTCATCTGAATCGGGCCCTAGGGAATTGCTTTTGCACCATTTTGCTTTTCCCACCCAAAATGGTTATTGTTGGAACAGAGAAAAGCAAAAAACATAGGGCAAAAAATCTAGAAAACAATTGTTTTTTTGGCTTTTCTTTATTCCCAAAATGGTTCATGTTGAATAGAGAAGCCAAAAAAACGTAGGGCGAAAAATCTAGTGAATAGAGAACAATTTATTTTGGCTTTTCTCTATTCAAACAAGTGCTTTTCTCAGGGAATTGTTTTTTACATACCCGCTCATAGTTCTTGTTGGACTAGAGAAAAGCCAAAAAAACATAGGGCATCGTCCGCGGATAGGCAGGGAAGGAAAGGGACACGTAATGAGTCTTTTCAATACTTGTGTGAACAATATAAAAAGGAAAAAGTTTATATAGAGCCGAGGCTCTAAACAATCAACTTAGAGCCAACCTCAAAAATTTCACTTCAAGAGATTGTTTTAATGCTCAAATATCTCTAAATTGATCATCTCAACATCAAGATGAAATATCCCTAAATTGGTCATCTCAACATCAAGATGCATGGATATAAGAAAAAAAAGGATTTCAAGTTTTGAAAATAGTGGATCTTGTAATGCATTTTTGGACCGTCAATTTTCAAGATTTTCAACTTTTCATAGATACGTTTGATCTACACTATTTTAAAATTTTAAAGCCTGAAATTTTATAATTAAAGATAAAAATATATTTTAAGGCTATCACAAAGATATCAAGGATTGAAACCACAATTCTTGACACTATTTGAAGGTGCACTTTACTTTGATTGTTTAGAGCATCGGCTCTATACAAACCACACCCATATAAAAAAGCGCACGTTAACAATTTTAAACAATGAGGCAATCATACAATTTTAAACAACTAGGCAATCATACAATTTTAAACAACGAGGAAATCATGTAGCTAGTTTGAAGGAGGCCGAAAAGACATGTTTAATTATAGAAAAAAAGCACGGAGTACCTAATGGTATTTGAACCAAGTAGTCACAAGAGCTTCACCACGACCCTACAACATTTGAAGATATCATTTATATATCAAACAGAGGAAAATTATTTACAAGCAAATAACTTGGACACACCCTCCAAATGCTACCGTGCAGTGTTGCTCTCCCCACACATCGTACTTATTAGCTTATTAGCTTTTAAGCAATAGTCGATTTTTTGGGGCGAAATTCTCAACGATAGCCAGAACCGGAACTTCACCTAAATTGCTTCCTTTTTAATAGAAACATAGAAGTACAAAAGCATCTTGGGAGTCCGGGGGACGCATATAGAATACGAGAAACAAAATTGTCATTTTATTTTAATTACCATCGTATCATCATCGTCAGAGCTTTTTTCCAACTAACCGCGGGGGCCTACATGAATCCTGGTCCACCCTTTTGCTCTATTAGGGGCTAACCTTTAGTAAGTCCGTATATCTTTTCTCACTACTTCCAATCATGTCCTTTTATGCCTACTTCTTGCGATTTTTAAGCCATCTATTTGAAACTAACTTGCACCTCCTAATATGTGCTCTACTAGATCTGCACAGCACATAGCTAGCGCACCTAAGTTTACTTTCTTTCATTTTAGCGCCTATTAATGCCACAACTAAATTCTCCCAAATATATTCATTTCGAATTATCTCTTATTGTCTTGTCACTCATCTATCTCAACATCTTCATCTCAACTACACTCATTCTATGAGTATGTTGTTTCTTAACCACCCAACATTCCGCCCCATAAAGCAAAACTAGCCTCACAGCTGTCTTATAGAACTTCCCTTTCTATTTCATTGATATGTGGCAATCACATAAAGTTCTGGTTATACATCTCCACTTCACCTACCTAATTCTAGTTCTATTTGTGACATCTTCCTCAATCTCTTTATATTTTATAAAAAACTTCAGGGGTTCGAGTAAGTTTATAATGTAGGTGAAGGTAGAATGGGAAATCACAGTGGACTAGATGCTATTTTACTGATCCAGCTATGATTCACAAAGGTACTCCAAAGATAGAAAGGTCGAAAATGGAAAGACAAAGAGGAAGTGAGTGCTTAACAAAGCGAAGAGGATTGGCAATATCCAAATAAAAACCAATCAGAAAAGCAATGTTACATATCTATGTTCCAGCAATAGAAGACAGAATGAAAAATAGAAGGATGTAATGTCTGGAATGTAAAAATATATATATATATATTTTTTGAAATAGTTAACTGTGGAATGTAAAAACAATTAGTACAATCGAGAAAACAATTGTTAAATGAATAGAGAAATTTCCTATTAGTAAATGATTAATCAATAAAGAAAATCCTCATGCACGATTTTGATAGAAGCAAAGAGCAAGAAACCCCTAGCTTTTCCATGGCTCAGCCTTTGATGGCTTCTGTTAGAACTGCAAAGAATCTAGTATTTTTGGAACAAAGAAGAAACCCCTTTTTGACCACCATACAACTATAGGATTCGAGGTAGGTAGAAGGTTATGCTGACCACCATACAACTACAGTGCTATGCAAAAGAATAAATTCCACCGGGAGAAATAATTTTTAGAAATTAGTTAAACAAAAAGCTGAATGTGTAGTGAAATACTTGACAAATATATTTGGAGAACCGGACACTGTCTTTGCAGAGAGCTATTTGCATGTTCACAACTCATTGCAATCTGATCAGTAAAGAGATGATCACGGAATAGTGGAAAACCAAATCCACTTCACTTTATAATTCTTTTTATTGCCCGCGGGGAAACTGATCCCACAAACTAAGGAATTGTACAAGGATCTCCTATGTCCTTTTACAAGCTGTTTGGAACATAGAACTTAAAAGGATACTTCACAATGAAGAAAATTGACAAGGAAGCCCACAGGAACTCTCACTGCAATAAATGATAAGACCACCCATAAGCCAAGTACGCTTCCTGAACAAAATCTTGATCCCTCTGGTGTCCAAAAGCAGTATTGTTGGATCCTTTGTATGGTTGAATATCGGAGCAACAATCTCAGTTATTCAATGGGAATTTATTACTTCATGGTTTATGAGTAAAAACAAAATGCTTTTGGAGAGATCCATGAGTACAGCCATCTAAAGGAATGATATCATGGGCGGCAAAAAGAGAGAGATCATGGAACAAGAAAAATTAATGGCAGCTCCCCAAGTGTATTGAGGCCAAACAACTAATAGCTTCAGTTAGAACAAGAAGAACTAGCTGAAGCAACAAGTCTTGATGCCAAACAGGTAAAAGGCCCAAGTAAATATGAATAAATGCACTATTTAAGACCTGTTTTCAAGCACACTTACGTGTATGGGTACATTCTAAACCTCAAGTGTTGAATGCTTTAGTTTATAAACAAGACAATTTACAAGCAGAAACAATACATTGACGCGATGGGGATTTGCAATACTACGTACATATTACAAAAATATACTTGTCATACTTAACATCTCACTTTTTTCTTCTTCTTTTCTGATAAATAGCTCTCATCTTCTCTCCATAAGAGTGTATACATTATATTTACAAGCACGCACACACATATAGTGATTAAAAACTCATTTCCACGAAGAAAAAACTTGACAGAGTTTTTTGTAAATAAACTGTTGAATGTATATGAGTGTTGTTTTGTCAGATAATTGGTATTTATTTAACTTCTAGGCATCTAGTTTGAGATGGCGATCAACTAGGGCTGAATGCCCTACATTTTTTCCTAGGTTTTTACAAAATTTGTAAAGTTCACCAAACTGTTGAACTTGGCAAATGGAAATGTATCATACTCGTACCTTAAAGGAGTCACCATCAACTAAGCACAGGAATATAGCAACTCATGAAAATAAATCCCTGCACCCCAATTTGGTTCCTTCAAAGGACAGTCTGAGGGATATTGTTCGAGTATACAAAAGGTCCATTAGACCTATATACAGAAGGCATGTGGTTTAGCCCCTACATGCCCACTCTGCCTCCTCAGAGAAGACTGTCAAGGAGGATGGAAACAGGTCCCACTCCTCGAACCAAACCATTAGCAGCCCAACCAGCTGATTCAACAGGATATTTCGGGGAGAAAAGGCTATGCTGGACGCGTTGACAGACCAGGTCAAAGGGGGTTCATAATTTTCGGGGCCAAAAGCCACAATTATTTCAAACACTACTTCTTCATGGGCTTCCACAAAAATTGGTAGGCCATGCTATTCTTACGGCCCATGCACGTTCCCTGTGCTTCACTATGGAGACCCCCCGAATCTGGTCAGACTAAACTAAACTTTGATGGCTGCTCTCTTGGCAACCCTGGCCCACAAGGAATAGAGGGCATCTTTTGAGATCATGATGGATGGACACAAGGGATAGGGGCATCTTTCTCTAAGTTCATTGGTCATGCTCACTTCAACACCGCCGAGGCCCTAGCCATTCTAGAGGGTCTCAGAAATTTCGATCCTAAATGGAGCACTTTTTTGGTCATTGAGGGGGAGACTCCAAAACCATCATCACCTGGGCCTTAGGATTATCGGCCTTTCCCTTTGAGACTAGCATACATTTTTGACGAGATATTCCATATTTGCAGGGTTATGCACGTCTAATGGAGGCATACCTGGTGCAAGGCCAATGCAGCAGCCGACGATATCGCTAAAGAAGGAGCGACTCGAGGCATAACGGGAACCATTTTGGCACCTTTTTGAGCTCCTGGTTTCAGTTATTTTTGTGGATCAGAAAGAGTGACTTGAAGCATGCTCTATTTCCCTTTCTTGTATAGCCCACAAACAGCTGGAGTTTTGCATACAGCACCATGTCTGTGGGTTGCAATTTTTGTAAGTTCTATACCCTCCTTTTAATAAAAATGTTAACAGATTCAGAAAAAGAAAAAAAGAAAACAAAACAGCTGATTCAGAAGCCCCCTGTGCATTGGAATCAATTGAATGCAAGTCCTAAGTTTAGTACTACCGATGGAAGACAATAACTAGATTTGAGCATAGCACCCTGGAGGGCATGAATTGTATCTTATTGTGACGGGTCAGTTCATATCAGCAGCAAAATCTGAACCATGAAGAACTCTACTCATTACTGGCCAAGGTAACCACAACTTCAAAAAGTTACTAGTGCACTGGCCAACCTCTAAAAGCAGGCATGAAGATTCATTTCCAATAGGCAGCTCAAAACTCGCCCTCTCGCTACTATGCAAGAGCTTTGAAAATTTCAACCCATGGGAGTTATATAGCTTGCGTACCAAACGTTAATCGAAGTGTAAACTACTCAACCTTGTAACCATAGAGTGCATTCCATGATCTCAAAAAGTATAGAGGGCATAGATCAATCGAAGTTTGAACTTTTGAAGCCTTGGATATTGCCCAGACACATTTTCTTGACACAATTAAAAATTTTCTTGACACAATTCAACAACCAAGTGTGGACTTAAATACCCACAAAATATAATAAATAGCAAATCAAAGCAAAGAACTTTAAACATAGAAGCCTCAACAATATGAACGGCATAGATAAATTCAAGGGAAAATTGTTGAAAACCCCCTAAAATATACTTTCTAGACACTCTACCCCCACCCTAAACTTTCCTCACTTCTTTTTCTCAAAAACCATATTTTCTAACAAATACCCCCCCAACCGAAGAACAATAAAAATAAAGACAAATTACCCCCCCTTTTTAACTTCTACGTTAAAAAGGGCGTTTGCGTTGGCAGTCCGGCATTTGCGTAGGCAGTCCGGCATTTTGTGACTGTCGATCCGGCGTTTACATAAGCAGTCCGGCATTTTGTGGGAGCGGTCTGGTGTTTTGAGTACTGTAATAAAATCACTCCAGCGTTTTGATGCAGTTGTCCGGCAGTGTATGTGTGCGGTTTGGCGATATGATTACTATAATGTGGGCAGTCCAACAATTTGAAGTAGTGCTCCAACAATTTACTGACTGGAATTGGGTTGGTCCGGTGTTTGCAATGTGCGGTCCGGCATGTGTTTCTGGAATGATGTTAAGTCCAGCGTTTCAGAGCTTCGCTCTGGTGTTATGGTTGATCTATCCAGCACTGGGAAGCTGCAGTTTGGTAATATCTTACTCACGGTCCCGCATTACAGAACTTTGCTCCGGTGATTTTACTACTGGAGACGTAAGTCCGGCATTTCATCGTCTCAGTCCGACGTTTTAGATACATAAGTAGGGTGGTCCGGCATTAGTAATATACAGTCCGGCGTATCACTGTCTAAATAAATAGTCCGGTATTGTAGAAATGCAGTTTGGCACATGTCGTAAGTCCAACAAATAACAACCGCGGTCCGACAAAAGTATTATCTGTCCAAATGATTTGTTCGTACGGTGAAGGTACGTGAAGGGGTATTTTCGTAAAAAAAGATATCACTTTTTGAGTTGGGGGGGTATTAGTTAGAAAAGATGGTTTTGAGAAAAAGAAGTGCGGAAAGTTTAGGGTGGGGGTAGAGTGTCTAGAAAGTATATTTTAGGGGGTTTCCAACAATTTTCCTAAATTCAATTGCAAGGTATGCAAAAGCTAGGAAATGGCTAGATCTTAGTTACTAGTAGGGGTGGCAAGGGGCCAAATAGCCCGGCTACAAAAAACTAGGGCCTTACATGCAAAATGTAGCCAGAGGGCCAGGTCAGGACCTAACCGCCATGGCCCGAGGGTAGGGCAAGGCCGAGCTAGGCTGGGCTAGGGCCATGACATGGCCAACTTATTTCAGCCCAGCCTGGCCCTTTTTTCCCTTAACTGTTTTTCATTTTCCCTCTTTAAATGTAATTTTCCCCACCTGGCTTGACCCTGACAGTCCAGGGCCTCTTTGGCCTGGTCCGGGCTGGGCTCAAGCTGGCTTTATAGGGACTCAGACCGGACTAGGCCCAAGACCACTCCTTTGCCAGACTATTTACCATGATCCCCCAACTTGGTGGAGATCCCAGTGATCCCACTTTCCCGGTGTGGCGATCTTGGGCAGATCCCTCTCCCATATGAGGCAACATGATTACAATACCTTAGAGATTGGTCAAAATAATTTACACCCATATACTATAAAAGGAAACAAAGTCTAAATGCATATCAATGAAAAAAAGAAAGAAATAATATTGCAAAATCAGGTTCTGTATATTTCCCAATGAGAAAGGAGATGCTTTGTTCTATATCTATGAAAAAGAAAGTCTTAAATTTCAATAAAAAAAGAAAGAACCATTGATGCAAATCCATGTAAAGTATGTTTGCCTAAGAGGAAAGATGCTAAAATCCAGATCAATCAACCTTATTTGGTTCCAAAATTTAAGGAAGGGATGGTATGTCTAAGTTTAGAAACTTTGAAAGAAAAATCATCTTTTACTTATATCTGTCTTTATCCCTTTTCATTTATTTTCTCTCTTTTTTTTTTTTGGGTAAATCAGTGAGGAACAAGGCCCTCTACCTGTTTTTCATTAATAAAAGATAGAAAAAATGACATCTTATTATCTATTTATTCTCTCTCTGCATATGGTTAGTTTCTCTTTTAATTCAAACTGAAGGAGTAGGGAAAGAGAGGGGCAGATACATTTAGTAACTCAACTCAACAGAGATATCATCTTGCTACCGACAATTGCCTACTCCCACACCATTCCCACTTCCAACAATTTTAGCCCAGATACATTTAGCAACTCAATTCAACAACGATGTGTTGACCAAGAATAGTATTTGCATTATTCAATGCCACAAATTCCTGAGCAAAACATCACTATAATAATCTCAACCATAAAACATTATGAGACCCAAACTATCACTATGCATAACAATTTTTATTTTTTATTACTCAATAATGCAATGGAAGACCAAAACCGAAAGGCCACATCAACCTATAGAAAACTAGGTAAAAGAAGGACCTAGCAAAGATTTATGAGAAAACCAAACCAGGCCTAAAGATATGAAAGCTTTTACATGTACAATGGGAAGAACATCACCTCAATGAAGATGCAAAAAGCCCTTATATTTTACAGCGTGAAATCCTACTGTGGAAAACCATCTTCACAACTTCAAGCAAGAACTTGAACAACCACACTCTTAAAAGTATCCATGTCAAGAGGTTTTCATCATATACTTGCATCACTAAAGGTCCCTATCCACATTCTCATCAGGCACAACTCAGAAAAAGATGAGGTCATAAGATGCATACTTCAGTAAAATCGCACCCACATTCTTTACCTAATGATCCTCCACCCACGCACACGTAGCAATAATCATCACTCCTAAACGCCTTGCAACCTTCAAGACATGAATAGGAGCCCAAAAATTCAATCACCCCATCCACCCATATCATCTTACATTAAGCAGTACAACAGATTCTTGGTGGCATAACTGGGCTTTACTAGCCACCTGAAAGAAGAAAGTCTTCCCTTGGTTCAGTTGCCTACACCTAATTCAACATTGCATCAAACAGAATTGGAAGATAGGACATCAAATAATTGACGAACCTACACCTCCTAGCGTGCACCTAAATGTCCATTAGTTGCAACAAACAACCGATAAGCAGGGATTGTACTATGGGACTTAGCAAAACCAGAGCTCAGAGCCATGTGAAATCTGTAGAATTGCACAATCCATTAAAGAAAAAGGGAATTCCACCGTTAGCAAAATCTCAACTAGAAATAAATAAAGTTGATAGACTGCTGAGCCTTCCTTGCAAATTACTCTGCCCCAAATACTGACAATGGAGGTTGCTCCCTTGTCTATGATTCTACGAACTTAAGGCTACCTCCAAGACCAAAAACCTAAACACCTGTCTCCCAAATCCTTTTTGCCACCCAACTCCACCTCTACACCTAAAAAATCCTCCTAGTCACCCTTGTGCCACAAATGTCACTTATAGCATTCATTTAGCTTTGTATAGTACCTGGTTCCACCAACCAGCAACTGCAGATAATTTTTTTCTGTTTATGAGACAATTTATTCACTCCTTTCTAAGAAGACATAATACCCACATTTACAATTTAGTGAATTCTAATTTGATCCAATTGATGATTTATCATCTAATATCAAATCAACAAATTATTGCCTAATGATTTGACCATTGGTTCACATGACCAATTTCTGCTGCAGGTATCGGCACATTCATTTTCACCTTGTATTCTTCAATATCGAATTTACTTAGCAATCAGCACATATAGGAATTCACTCGCAGATATTTGATGCATCCTCAATACACTTTATCCTCATTTACTTCTGTTCATCTATTCATCATCTCAACATATGGCCCATATGTCTTAGTTAAACTTCGTATCAAACATCATCTATCATTTAACAATCCAGTGTAAATAGACAGAATATCCAATAAATCAAGAAATGATAAAAAATCAAAATGAAGAAAATAAATTTACTCCGTTAACAAAAAGTTCAAAATAGGTTACAAAGACCACGATATGATGTAGGCAGTATAGAATCACATTTTCCATCATATAGTCACATCAACTTGAAAATGCGAACAATTCCAGCACTGTTCAATCACATAAAGAGTTTCAAAAAGGGACTCAGATTACTTACGTTGTTCCAAAGAGTGCAATCTTTTGAACCTTGGTGAGATCAGCTCCAGATTGGTTGTCCTCAATAAAAATAGTCAAGCTGAACGCAAACCGAAATCAATAAGGCTTTGTACTCCTGTTTTAGCCAGCAAGAAAAAACACGCTAAAGGGTGGAAATGAGAAGATGCCCACATTAAAAGGAAAACACGATTTACCTCCGAACATTCTGAAATTTTACATACTTCAACGTAACCGGTTTTCCATACATTTCAATAAGAAAAATACCATTCAGGTTTATGTCCATATCAAATAAATAAATGGCACTACATCAAATACCTTCTCTTCAACAATTTAGAGCTGTGATTAAGGAAAATTGTTACATGGGGCAACATTCAAAATCTTACCTTGAGATGAGCTGGGGTCAACACTACGGAGTCGCAGGCTGGGTAGTCATTTAACATTACTGCAAATTAACTTCTGAATTAGTATAAAAGTGGTTATAAATGTTAAGGCTTGTCATCCAATCACCAGAAATAAATCACCTCAGGTAGGGCCAAAAAATAAGGGGTCAAAGTGTTTGAACTGCACCTAAAACCCATGTCCTCCTTGTTTGCAAACAACTTTACCATCCTAGGACCTACGAAAAAAATCATCTCAAAACGAGATTCAAACACAATCAGTAAATCAAAACATGGATTCCATATTCTCAAATTCATGGTGACCTCAAGTTCCTAAAGGAAAATAACGCAACAGATGTATAAAACCTGATGATACTAGGAAGAAAGCATTAGTTTCTGTAATCGATTACAGCAATAGTTTTTAGGTGAGATAGGGCTGCAGCCCTTTCAAACCATTTTCCAAACTTAATTTCAAATTTTATTTCATATTATTTATTGAAATAAAATATTTATACGTATTTTTTGGGTGTAAGTTTGTTTTCACTCAGATAATAAAAAAAGTATTTTAAATAAAAAATCAGTCTTAAATAAAAAATAAAATTTATTTTTGGCCTTTTGATAAGGTTGGTTCAATCTGATCCATAAAAACATGCTTGTACACCTTTGAAGTGTCCACTGCCTGCAAACACAATACCATTCCAAACAAAAATAAATGCAGCAACATTACTCATGGGGTCGCAAATTGAAAGAATAAAACTAGCCATGTTTAATCAAACGAATAACGGGGAACAAGGCTTGATGGTTAAGGAGTTGACTATTGCAACACTACCTCCTAAGGTCGCATTCCGCCACAGTGTTTATTTTTATTTTGTGATAAATATAATACTTGATCTACTGAAAATATTTGAAATTTTGAAAAATAAAAGATAAACAAAGAAGAAGAAAAAGATAACTTCTACTTGGTTTTAGCTATTTATAGCTTCACAGGAGACGAGGAATCGGGGTATCCTCAGGATGCCCTTGGATATAGCCCCAGGCAAACACCACCATTGCCCCATCCATGCATGGGCTCACGGCTCGCTCCATTCTTGCACAAAGAAACTGTAAACGACCGGATTGCGCCCGCCCTCTGTCTCATCATTGAACATATCGATGTGACCATAATCCGACGGCAAAAAGTAGCAAGCAGGAGACTGGCACTCTTCAAAGAAATCTGTGCGATTAGAACCGACCGGTGCACAGGCCAGGCATATCAAGCATTTCTTTACCTGGCCAAGACCCGAGCCCACCACCAACACTGGCATGCCAGTGCTAAGAGAATTATGCATATTCGTAAGGATATGTGGCGATGTGCCCTCGACTGGGTCTATGGTGAGGAGAGCAGAGTATGTGAGGGTCTTAAGGTCCAGGGCTAGGGCAAAGGCGATCTTGCCACCGCGGCTGTGTCCCGCTATGGAAAGCTTGGTGAGGTCTCCAGCTATGCTATTCGGGAGGGCTTTGGGTAAGCCAGTGCAGAGCCACTCAGTAACTGCAACCACCGAGTCGATCTCGCCTGTGGCATCAAAGCGGGCGATGGTGTAGAGCTGTGGAGAAGCCTGGAGTGAGAGGACTTCGAGCCTTATCCCAACTATTTGAGCTCGGCCAGAACTGGCTTAAAAAAATATGAGGAAGGAAATGAAAAATTGTAAGAGGCGAGAGAAATGTCCTGAGGTGCAGCGGCCTTGAGAAGCCACGTGAGAAAGGAGGTAGCCATAGAGGAAGAGAATCGCCCTTCTCAACTATCATAAGTGGTTTTGGAGGGGATGTGCAATCGGAGGGCTGGGAGTGCACAATCTGGACAGTGTAGATTCCGACGCTGTGTGTTGCATTCCTAGCTGGTTTAGCTACAGTATGGGCCATCATCATAGTCCTAGATGGTTTTAGGAATAAAACCTCTTCTCCCTCCTACGCGGTTTTAAAACCACCTCTCTCTATGAAGTTTTCGATGGACCTTCCGTCCCTATTATGATATAAAGGGAGCTTACTTGACCTTTATGCTCCTTTTATTGTTACTACTATGATATAAAGGAGCTTACTTGACCTTATATTCTTTTTATTGCTGGTATGTGTGGTTGGTCATAGGCATTTAAATGTGTTATATTTCTCTCTTTTTATCTTCTTCATATAATTTAATATTTATCAATAAAAAAAATAACCTTCTTAAAGGGAAGATATGCCATTATCCAACATATAGAAAATAACTATCACTTCTCAAGATTACATGGCCACGCTTCTTAAGATTCCAAAAGAAATCGAATGTTGGATGTTGGACAACAACTTCCTTCCATAAAAAAATAACTACCCATTTCCCAATATTACATGGCCAAAAAAATAACTACCCATTTCCCAATATTACATGGCCACGTTTCTTAAGATTCCAAGAGAAAATCAATTTCTTAAGATTCCAAGAAGAAATCGAAGGTTGGAGAACGACCTCCTCCTATCCTCCCATAGAAAATAACTACCCACTTCCCAAGATTACATAGCCACGTTTTTCATGTCCAGGTTTCTTAATATTCCAAAAAAAAATCTAACGTTTCTTAATATTCCAAGAGGAAATCTAATGTTGAAGAATGACCTCCTCCCATCCTCCCATCCCTCTTTAAAAAGGATATATTTATCAATGACATTCTTAGATGGAGGAGATGCCATTATCCAACAGATAAAAAGTAATTACCCACTTCTCAGGATTACATGGTCACATTTTTTAAGCTTCCAAGAGGAAATCGAATGATGGAGAACGACCTCCTCCCATCCTCCCATCTCTCTTTAAGAAGGGTTTCATCGCTATGGAGAAGTATACACAGAAAATCACAGAGTTCTCATTATTCTGGTAAAGCCTGATCTTTACGATCCGTTTTATGGCTATGGAGAGGCATATATATCTGCGATCCGTTTCATGGCTATGGAGAGGCATACATAGAAAATCACAGGTTCTCATTGTTCTGGTAAAGCCAGGTCTCTATGATCCCTAATTTCTTAAGATTCCAAAAGGAAATCGAATGTTAAAGAACGACCTCTTCCCATCCTCCTATCCCTCTTTAAGAAAAGTTTCATTGCTATGGAGAAGTATACACAGAAAATCACTGAGTTCTCATTATTCTGGTAAAGCCTGATCTTTACGATCCATTTCATGGCTATGAAGAGGCATACATATATGTGATCCGTTTCATGGCTATGGAGAGGCATACATAGAAAATCACAGGTTCTCATTGTTTTGGTAAAGCCTGATCTCTGTGATCCCTAATGTCACGTCATTGCCATAAATTCTTGGGAGCTTGGTGTTTTTATCTCTTCCCTCATAAATCTAACATTGGTATCGGAGCGAAGTTGCGAAAGAGTGGTGAGCCCATAACCCACAGCTCCCAGGTTCTTCGTTGCAACCATGTCCCATGGGAACTTATTGGACCTAGGTTCTTCTTTGCAACCATGTCCCAGGGAGCTTACTTGAACTTCTATTCCTTTTATGATATCAAGGGGACTTACCTGACGTTCTTTCCCTTCAATGGCATCTAGGGACCTTACTTTTAATTTGGGCCTCTTTTTCCCTTGGTGTTCAATATGGGAGCAGCATTATTGTCTGGGAAAGTTTTTTTTATGTTCTCTTTACAACATAGAAGTTCTATCTTCCCTTTATCCAATCCTCCATTTTTTAATGGAGGGTTAAGATTGTCCCAATCACAATGTCACGTCTTTACACTATTTTTATTTATTTATTTTTCTATAAACTATTTTGATACCAAATTTTAGACGTCCATTCCTCTATTAAACATGCACTAACAAAAAATATAAAAAAAAAATTTCAAAAAAATAAAATGACCAAATACCTTGAAAGCTTCAAAAGGTATTTTGGTTATTATATTTTATCGAAAAATTATTGTTAATATTTTTTATAAGTACGGCCCGATGAGATGATGGCCCGAACCAAATTTCATATTAAAAAAAATTGTATTAAAAAACTAAAAATAAAAAAACTTTGAGACATCAGATCTAAAATCAAACAGTGAGCGACTCTCTTGATAAAAAATAGACGGCTGGATGGTAGGGGGAAGACAGAACTTCTATATTATAGAGGAACATAAAAAGCTTTCCCGGACACTTATTGTCAATGGTAAACTGTCGCTCTGAAACTTTATACATACTGAGTCTTGATTGCACTCCAGTGGGAGCCCTCTGTATACTTACTCCTCAGGCACTCTGCATAGTTACTCCCTGGACATGATCCGAGGGATTTCTCGATCTTCAATTCTGGGATTTTCTTAATAGTTTATGTCTAAGTATTTCAAGAAAATAAAAATAAAATTAGTTTTTGAGTTTCGAAACACTTAAACGGAGGTGTTGGCTCGTATCCATTTAATTTAATCGTTCAATTGTCTCGCACGTGCCTGTGAGCGAATCATTGTTGTGGGCCGGTTGATAAATTGAGGGGATTACAGTCCCAAAATATTAGGTTGAAAAAGTAATCCAAGTCAAGGTTTTATGAAAGGAAGTGCCCACACAATATGATCCTGCCGGAGCACATATTCTGTTCGTTGGTCTTTAATTTCTAGCTCGGGCTACCGTAGTTGATGTGAAGATAGAGAGTCAAGGAGGGGCTCGTTTCGCCCAACGTACGTGTGGTGTTCTCTTTCCTGATCCATGCACATGATTTTCGTGTGATATTTATTTGAGCGCATATATTATACATCTGCAGGAGCATATTGTATACTATTTGGGATTTTTTAAAAAAAAACTTTGGGAGCCACCTAAAAGTCACAAGATGATTATCTTGAAAAGAAAAATATTTGAATTTTTAGTTTCTAACACTTAGATCTCATGCTTCTGGACAGTTTCTATTCATCATTGAAGCATTAGACCTATGGGGATGCGATTTGGAATATTTTTTAATCAAGTTTGGTATGTGGGTGGACAAGGTTACATCCTCAAAATATGAGTGGTAAAAATACGCTTACATTGGGTTTTGATGTTGAAAAATATTTCCGTAATGGATTTTACCTTAGGGCGTAAATAAAATAAAATCTTTTTGGTTTAGTTATAGACTTTTTTTTCTAACGTTATATACGATACTCATGAAGTTGCAGTTTTCCATTTGGTTTATTGACAGAAGTGTTTGTTCCCTTGAAAATCACCAACTGTTGGTGACGTGCATTGCACGAAAGACTATGCAGAGGGCTCGTAAAAGGGGAAGAGAATGGGCTGCTCCTGACTGACTGGGGAAATTTATTAAGGAAAATTGTTTCATGCCGGCATATGCACGGTCTAGAAAGTGTAAAGCCCGGCTTGACCGCAATTCTACATGTACGGTCCAAAAAGTGGATGCAAGCAGTGGTTCATCTAAAAACAATGGAGACTATCGATCCAAATATTTTTTTACTAGAAATGTAGTTTTTAATATATATATATATATATATATATTCATGATCTCCATATTGGAGGTTACATGCCTTTAAAACTTAAGTCCTAAAATCCATCTAAAAATACATTTTTTAAGATGCCTACATTTCTACATATGTCGGTTTTGTTGGGCTTATGTGGCCTTTAAAGGCCTTATGAGTGTGCAATGAAGAATATTTACTATAGTAGAATATAAACTTAGTGGGAGTGTGGTCGCTCTAAGACCATACTAAGCAAATGATATTTGCAGATAACGGACTGTGCTTGACGATCTAGGCCAGTCGGTTGGAAAACCCAAGGTACCTGGGCATAAAAAATAAACCGAAAAAGGTTTTTGGGTTAACCCTTGATGAGGTCAGAGCTTATACCTAGATGAGTGAACTGAGGGACTGTGTGACCCTTGTGTGTGATGGTAGGCCTACAGTGACGGGGGCCAAAACCTCATTCATGTTTCATCACACAGCATTCATATAGATAGATCGTTTGGGAAAGCTAGATATCCACTTTTGGGTGAAGCATATGCATGTGCAAGAGATAGCCCTATGCGTTATAGAGTTGTGGTCGCATCATGTCGTGGAGACTTTGACTTGTCTCTAGAGGAGGACCTATAATCTACAAACTGGGATTGCGACTTCTTGGCTCATTGACCAGACTTTGGTAACCCGCTAATGAGCCCATGTTTGGACTGTGGGTTATGAGAACTACTGGGACGGTTCGATAAAGAAAGTGTGGTATGTAGTCTACAGTTGAAGGTGGAGTACCCCGTGATCGTTGATTGAATTCATAAACCATACAGATCCACTTCCCATCATATTAATTTAATTTTATTGATTTTATTATTAAATTATTTTAGATTTAGTATTTGAATTTTTGTAAGTCATTTGATATTTTATTTCTTATTTTTAGACTTATAAAAATGAAGTTATTAATTTACAGAGCTATAATGTTTTAAAATTCATTTTATTTAAATTTTAAAATGCTCATTAAAAAAAATACATGGGGGCCCATAATGCACATGGGCCCACCATGTGGGTATTATGTGGGCCCCCACATACCATGCATGGGTGGCACGCCCCACCCTTGGATACCTTATCTTGTTGCTTTGTCTTCAAGTTTGTTAAAAATGGTAACTACATCTTGTAGCATGTGGCCAAATATTGATTAGGAAATATCGACCATATCTTTTCTTGATTATTGAAGGAATATCTTGACCTGATATTATTGAAATATTCTTATGGAAAATATTAGATGGAATATGCAATTTATGGTATGCACTATATCTTCAATGGATTTAATTTATTTAAATATGTTGATGGGAAAATGGTTTAAGGAAAGGAGGATAATAATTCATGTACCTTTCATAATGTTGATGACCCATCTATGGAATGGATGACTCATATTTCTCACCCCACAAGTCACCTTGATCAACGGTCCATATTCAATCTCAAGAAAGATACAAACTATGAAAAACCCTAAAAAACCCTAGACCTAAATTTTACTATAAATAAGGGTGCTC